CAGGGGTCAGCTTTGCCTCACTCCGGGTACTTCACGCACTTGAAGCTGAGCAGGTATTCTTTGCTTGCTCTAGCTACTGTGCACATCCTCTTTACCTCACAAGTAAGAAACATGTCATTTAAATCTTTATATAAATATATTTTTAATAAGGCTCTTTATTAATAGTGCTAAGGGCAGCTTACTCAAATGTTTTGAAATCCAGAGAAGCAACATGAATTTGAAATCCTTGAAGTTCTTTAAGCTGTGGGTTTCATTTGGGAAACTGTCTGAACAGATTCACTTCTAGGGTGCTAATAAAAGTATTTTAAGTACCTGGGGCGAATCTTGCTCCGTAAGGTTGATGGTGGTTGTAGCAAGCTGCCCCAAGAGACAGGTTTGGTCATACCAAAGCGGAAAGTTTGTGGATGCATCTAAGCAAATGAATTTAGGTAGTGATGTTTGTGGAATGTCACTGTTCCTAAAGCCTCTCCACTGCTGGTCTGCTCCAGCGTTCAGCTCGCACTGCCAGCGTGAGGTGGAGGCTGCAGAACCAGTTCACGCTGGTGATTTGTGTCCTGGAAAGGTGAATGTGAAATCGTTGGCATCTTGCCATCCCGTCCCCGAACGTGGCAGGACGTGGCACCTACTTGCTCACCTTCGCTTGTAGCAAGGTAATGCCAGAAATAAAAGTTAGAAAAGAGTGAACTATCACCTCTGCCCTGGCTCATGACTCTGCCGAATTGCTTCTCCGGCGCGGCTGTGTGTCATCGTGTCATCTCGGTGCCGTGAAAAAGGGACCGCGCCCTTGTACGGATGAAAGATTTGAAATGCACGCACTGACTGTGGCACTTTTTTTTTCCCCTAAGAAAATTTTTTCTTTCGCAATAGCCCTTGGATTGATGCCTGAACAGGGGAAGTGCCTGGCCGAATCGATTTGGGCAGTTGATAATGCTGTTTCCTGATGGTACCAATAAAGAGGGAAAGGTTTCTTGTGATCCAGTTTTATAAGGGCTCCACCAGCACCAGGAGAGGGGCGTATGTCATCCACTGTGCAATAAAAGAGCCATTTGGTGATGAAGTAGTTGGGATTGAACTACTGCTTTCTAATTTCTTTAATTGAATTTGCTGTGGAAAATTAAGAGCAGGCAATCAAGAATTCATGCAGTGCTGAGATCAAATAGAGGAAAAAGCAAGCAGATTTATGTCAGATCTTACCAACAAGAAGTGTCGTGATGAATTTCTTCACTGAAGAAAGGAAACTTTCTCACATTAAGGTGAATTACGACTTCCATCAATGTTCTGATAAAAGGAATAAAATATTCCTGGAGAGCTTTCTGATTAAACTTCTCAAGATGAAAGTTGAAGCTCTATTTATGTAGGTTCTCGTTAGCAGTTGGCTTTTATGCAATGAGGAAAGAAATAATGAATAGGATAGTTTAAACAAATTATGCATTTCACTTTTACTATCCAGGAAATCAGGTATTTTAAAATATTTATAGTTTAATTTTCATTTAGCACCAGGGCGTATTATTCAGCTAAGTCAACTGTCCTTGGCTGCTGCTCAGCCGTATACAGGGTGAGCAGAGAAAGGTTTATCTGAGCAGGCTGGTTTGAGTTACGGGAAGTTAATTTGCAATGTGGAGATGAAAAGCATGATAGCTCTTAAATAAATCGAAATGCTACAAAAATAGCAGAGAGGGGAAAGGGATATTTCTGTGGCTCTAGCACAGGCTGCTATTGATTTTAGAAGGAGAAGAGGGATGCTGTTACAGGTGTAAGTCGGGCATGGGATGTCTTTGCTGAGTTTCTGAGTAGGGAGCCGTACAGCTGCCGGGCAGGGTGGGCCAAGCAGGGGCCGCGGATTTTCCCAATCACGGTCAGTTTAGCAAACCTGCAATGAGCCACAGTGGGTGAGATTTTAGTGGCTTTTGTTGAAAAGCTGCCATGCCAAGCAAAGGGAAATCCGGCTGTCAGCTGGTACTCGCTTGGGCCTTGATTATCTGCCTGATTCTGGAGGCAGCGATGCCACCTGGGGCTGGGAGGTGAGGAGGAAGAGGAGGA